GTCTGAGGGACATGGAGAGGACTCTTGTCCAAAGAAATGGGCACGGAGGCAAAGCTGGTGGAGGAAGAGTTCGACATCATGTCGTGCCCGAAATTTAAGGTGGGGATGCAGAAGAATAAAGCTGAGACCTTTGCTGAGTACAGAACGTTCAGCATCCGAGAGCGGAATTGAAAAGTAACATTCACAACAAACAAGTACCAGGCAATGACCATCTCTAATGAAAAAAATCTAACTATTTCTCCTGACATTCAATGGCATTATCACCACTGAATTTCCCCACTGTCAACATCCTGGAAGTTAGCATTGAACACAGACTGAACTGGACCAACCATATAAATCATGCAGCCACAACAACCGGTCAGATGCTTAGAATTCTGCAGTATTTAACTTGCCACTTGACTCTTCAAAGTCAGTCCACCATCTACAAGGTGCAAGTCAGGAGTGTGATAGAATACTCTCCAATTTTCTGGATGAGTCAAGCTACAAGAACACTTAAGAACATTTAAACCATCCAGAGCAAAGCAGCCTGCTTGATTGACACCCAATTAACGTCTTAGACATTCGCTCTCACCACTATCGATAAACAATGGCACCAGTATGCACTGCAGCAAACCCATCCAGGTTTCCCCTAGAGGATTGAAGGCTGAGGAATGACTTAACAGAGAGTTATAAAATCATGAGGGGCATAGATAGGGTGCCAAGGTCTTTTCCCCGGAGTGGGGGATTCCAGAACTAGAGGGCATTGGTCTCATAGGTTTAAGGTGAGAGGAGAAAGATTTAAAAAGGACTTAAGGGGGCAACATTTTCATGCATTGGGCGGTGCGTGTATGGAATGAGTTGCCAGAGGAAGTGGTGGAGGCTGGTACAATTACAACATTTAAAAGGTATCTGCATGGGTATATGAATAGGAAGGGTTTAGAGGGATATGAGCCGCATGCTGGCAAATGGGACTAGATTAATTTAGGATATCTGGTCAGCATGGATGAGTTGGACCAAAGGGTCTGTTTCTATGCTGTATGGCTCTGTGACTCTAAATCCATTACCTCTATCAGCTAGAAGGGCAAAGCTATCAAATGCAAATTTCCTGTGTAGTCACACAGCCTCCTAGCTTGGAACTTTGTATCCACTCATTCACTGCCACCTAAGTCCAAATCCTGCAGCTCCCTTCCTAAAACCATTATGGGTGTATCTATCACACTACCACCCACAAGACTACTGCAGTTCAAGAAGGTGCCTCACCACCATCACATGATGCCCACATCTTGTGAACAAATAAGAAAGAATGAATTGCCAGGTGGAAAGTCTGCAAAGTGGTAATGGCTCATCACAGAGAGGGGGTGTGGATTTATTTCATCCTTAAAATGACCACGAAAAAGAGCAACTGTTCTCAAACATGTATTTTGATGAAACATGTGTACATAACAATGATTTTCTGTAACAAGGCCAGAATGGGATTTTTGAGAATCCATTCCATTGAGTTCCAGTTTGCGAAATGATAACAATCATGTATCATAGTACTATTGAACTTGGGTTTCATATGAGATATGAATTTGTAAATTAACCAGCCTGAAATGACTCTAGAATTGAGAACAATTTTTTGCACACTGTGGGACAGATTCTGAGCAAAAACAGTGAATGTGGTGTTGGTCAACACTAAAAAATACTGGATAAATAATTAGGTAGAAATATTTTCAGACGTTATTGGAATAATTTTTGTGAAGATTGCTCTTCTTCTTTTAATCAACGTAATCTATCCTAAAAAGAACAATCAGATGATTTAGTGATCAAGACTTTTTTAGATATTCTTGATTTAGTCATCAGTAAGAGATCATGCAGATAAATAATCGAAGTAGAGTCATTGAAAACCTAAGTTTTGTGTTGTCTATCAAGGGAATAGATTTGATGAACTGACTGGACTTTGACTTCTGTACTTTCCTATTAATTTTCTGATCAATAGAAATACTAGGTTGAACAACAATTCTCAATCAAAATACGAAAATATGTCACTGATATTTGAGACATGGGGATAAGTTGAGTAATTAAATATCCCGATAATTGCTGACTGACATCTCAACCATTTAAATAATTTCAAGTTGATAATGAGTGTGTAAATATAATTTTTTTTTAAAAATTGAGAATTCAGTCTTTTCTGAAAGATGGAGTGATGTGAAATTTATTATTTTTTTTGCCATCAAGAGGCAAAATATTTGTGCAGAGATTTATTTATGATCAAATTAAAGCTCCAAAATCACGTAATGAAATCAAGAAATATGTCAGAAATTTTATTAAATTGTCTCAACCACTTAGAACATTGAATTTCGTTTTACAATGTTATAATGCTAATGTCTGGGCAACGATATTTTATAATATACAATTACATTTGTAAATGTATAAATATAACCAAAGTATAGCAATGCTTGAAATGAGATATCTTCCTGGACATCAATGCAACTTAACATTTTTGGAAGGATTATATAAAAAAAAATGATTTAGTGAGGTAGAATGACTACCCTTTTCATCAAGACAGCATTAAACCAAGAGTGGCATTGCGTAAGAATGAAGACACTTAGGAATTGTGCAAAAATGTTCCACAGCTCATACCAAGGAAGATGGCTATAGTTGGTACAGTCCAATTTCCTCCGTCCAAAACATCACTTAGTTCTTTAAGAACAAATTCTAATTCCAAATAGCTTCAGCTTATTCATCAATGACTTCATTGTAAAGTCAAAAGTGGGGAAAGTTCACTGGTGATTGTATAGTGTTCAGTTCCATTTACAGCTCTTCAAATATTGAAACAGTCCATGCCCACTTGCCACACACTTTGTACAATATTCAAATTTGGGTTGATAACTGACCAATAATATTCCTGCCATACAACTGGTAATCAATGACCACCAGAACAACAGAAAATTGAATCACCTTCCCGTAACATTCAGTGGTGTTTCCACTGCTGAATTCCCCAACCAGCAATATTTTGAGGGTTACTCTAACTGGATCTTATGCACAAAAACTGTCAGAAATTTGAAGAGGAAATACTGGAACTACAAGGCATGTCCAGTTTACACAATGCTTAATTTTTGTAAGGAGAACAAATATTTAGTCAGTAAGTAGAAGGTTTTATTGCACCAAAAGAAAAAGATAAGTGTAGAAATGTAGTAGTCCTAGAGGTTTTATTAATTAGAGTAATAGAAATACATTTCCAAAACCTTAAACATAAGTTATGAATAGTACGTTCCACTGAAAGCAAAGAAATATCGAAAGTAGGAGCTGCAGTAGGCCATTCGGCCCTTCAAGCCTACTCCACCATTCAATATGTTTAGGGCTGTTCAACTCAGTATCCTGTTTCCCACTTTCTCCCTATATCCTTTGAACCCTTTAACCCTCAAAACTTTATCTAACTCTTTTTGAAAACATTCAGTATTTTGGGCTCTACCATTTCTGCAGCAGAGAATTACGCAGCTCACCACTCTCTGGGTGAAACCTCTCAGTCCTAACTGGCCTATGCCGTAATCTTAGACTATGACTCTTGGTTCTGGGCTGCCTTATCCTTGGCAACATCCTTCCTGTGTTTACTTCTGTTTAGTCCTGTTAGAATTTTACGGTTTCTATGAGATCCCCTCCCCCAATTCTTCTATTCAGTGAATATAGTGGTAACCAATCTAGTCTCTCTTCACACACCAGTCCTTCCATCCTAAGAATCAGTTTGATGATCCTTCATTGTGCTTCCTCCACAGCCAGGACATCTATCCTTAAATAATGAGACCAAACCTGCATATAGTACTCTAGGCATGGTCTCGACAAGGCCCTGAAAATTCCAAAAGACCAATTAAGCATGGTTTCCCTTTTGTAAATCCATGGTAACTCTGTCTGATCTTGTCACTGATTCTGAAGTGCTGTGCCATTAAATCTTTTACAACTGACTCTAGCATTTTTGCTACTACTGATGTCAAGCTAACAATTCTATGACTCCCTGTTTTCTTTCTACCTGTATCTTTCTAAATGACTATGTTACCATCCATAGGAACCAATCCAGAACCTATAAAGTTTTGACATCTGTGTTCCTATTCTCAAATCCTTTTTCTATAAAGGGCAATATATTAATAGCCTTTTTTACTGCATCTGCATGCCTACTTTCAGCAACCGGTGTACAAGGACACCCAGGTCTCATTGCACCTTCCCCTTACCCAATCTGTACCATTCAGATAATAAGCTGCCATCCTGTTCTTGCTACCAAAATGAATAACCTCACATTTATCCATAAATACTTGACGTACCATTCATTTGCCTACTCACTCTACTTCTCCAAATTGCACTACAGAATCTCTCATTCTTCCTACCCAGCTTTCTGTCATCTACAAATTTGGAGATAATACATTTTATTTCCTCATCTAAGTCATTTAATATATGTTATGAGTAGCTGGGGTCCAAGCTCCGATACTGTTTATTCGACTCTTTTCTTTTAGCATAAGCCAGCTTGTTCTTTATCCATGTAATTACACTATCCCCAATCCCGTGATCTTTAATTTTACATACCAATATTTTACGTGGGACCTTATCAAAAGGCTTCAGAAATTCCAAGCAAACTACATCTATGGAATCCTCTTATCAATCTTCCTAATTACATCCTGAAAATTCCAAAAGACCAATTAAGCATGGTTTCCCTTTTGTAAATCCATGGTAACTCTGTCTGATCTTGTCACTGATTCTGAAGTGCCGTGCTATTAAATCTTTTACAACTGACTCTAGCATTTTTGCTACTACTGATGTCAAGCTAACAATTCTATGACTCCCTGTTTTCTTTCTACCTGTATCTTTCTAAATGACTATGTTACCATCCATAGGAACCAATCCAGAACCTATAAAGTTTTGAAAGATGACTACCAGTGCGTCCAGTATTTCTAGGTTCACTTCCTTAAGTACTTTTCGTGGTATAGATTATTGGGCCTGAGAATTTATTGGCCTTTAATCCCGTCAATGTCCCACCAACATCATGTCCATACCAACACTGAGTTCCTTCAGTTCCTCCTCCTCAATTGGACCCCGTATTCCCCAGTACTTTTTGACATTATTTATGCCCTCCTTTGTGAAGGTGGAATGGAAGTATGTATTTAATTGGTCTGCTATCACTTTGTTCCCCATGATAACTTTCCCTCTTAGATTTGTCATCACTTATCGTTTTCTCTTCACATTCATGTCAAAGCTTTTACAAGGAGTTTGTATGTTCACCACAGATTTACTCTCATACTCTATTTCTGCCCTGTCTTAATCAAAGCCTTTGTCCTCTTATGCTGAAATCTAAACTACTCCCAATTCTCAGGTCTGCTTTATTTTTTGGGCTGATTTGTAGGCCTGTACCTTGGATAGGTAATACTTATTCTAATACTTTCCCTAATCTCCCTTGTTAGCCATACTTAAATGGTTGGGCCACCTTTTCAATTTACTTTTGTGCTAGATATGAATGAACAAATTTTGCCATTCCTTTATGTACACTTCAAATGTTTATCACTGCCTATCCATTGTCATCCCTTTAAGTAACATTCCCCAATTTATCATTGCCAGCTCATGTCTCATACCACTGTGGTTTCCTTTAATTAGGTTCAGGATCTTAGTCTCAGAATCAATTGTGTCATTTTCCATCTTGATGAAGAATTTTATAATATTATGGTCACTCTTACCCAAGGGGTCCAACACAGCTATATTGTCAATTATTCCTTTCTGATCATACATTACCCTGTTTAGGATTACCTGTTTTCCAGATGGTTCCTTAATGTATTGATCCAGAAAACCATCCTGTACTTGTTCGAGGAATTCCTCCTCTAGGTATTTTTGCTGATTTGATTTGCCCAATCTGAGTGCAGACTGAAGTCACCCATAAATGCAGATATGCCTTTTATTGCTTGAAACTCTAATTATCTGTTCAATGCCTTCCCAACATTACCAGTACAGTTTGCGGTCCATAGACAATCCCCATATCGTCTTCTGTTCCTTCGATGTTTCTAAACTTGACCCATACAGATTGGACTTCACCAGAGCTATTATCCTTCCTCACTATTGCATTCCTTTTCCTCTTTAATCAGTAGTGCTACCTGACCTCTTTTTCCTCTTTGTCTGTCCTTCCTAAAACCTGAATTCCTCTGGATATTCAGTTCCTATCCCTGGTCACCCTGTAGCCACATCTCTGTAATCCCAACTATGTCAAACCCGTTTAATGTATTTGTACAACTAATTCATCCACAATTTGCGAAAGCTTACGCATTAAGATTCGAGTCCTTGACGCTTGTCTTTTTGACATTCTTAGTCTTGTTTGCATTGTTTTACACTGTGACCCTGTTTGATTCTTGACGTTGGATTGTCTGCTTATCACTTCTTATTTCTACTTTTGTGCTTTGTTTTTGCCCTTGTTTCACTTTCTTCTGTTGACTTGTATAGGTTCCAAGCCACCTGTCATTTTAGTTTAAAGCCTCACCAACACAAGAGCAAATACTCCCCCTAGGACATTAGTTCCAGTCCTGCCCAGGTGGAACTAATTCAGCATGCACTGGTCCCAGCTCCCCCAGTCCCAAAGTCCCAGGTATCTGAACCCCTTCCCATTGAATCAGCTCTTCAGCCACGTGTCCATCTGACACATCCTGCTACTTCTACTGTGACTAGCACATGGCACTGGTAGCAATCCTGAGACCACTGCCTTTTGAGGTTCAGATTTTTAACTTGCCTCCAAACTCCCTACGTCTGCTTTTAAGACCTCATGTCTTTTTTAACTAATGCCATTGGTACTATACGTACCACAACCACTGGCGCTCCCCCTCTGGAATTAACATTGGCCCCTCCTAGACATCATTAACACGAGCACTAGGAGGCAACGTAATATCCTGGAGTCTTGTTTGCAGCCACAGAAACATCTATTTATTCTCCTTACGATTGAATCCCCTATTACTATATCCTTCCTATATTTATTCTTCCTTCCCCCATGCAGCAGGGCCATTGGAACAATGAATTTGTCAGTTGCTATGTTCCACTGAGAGGCCATTCCCCCAAAAGTATCCAAAGTGGTCTATCAGTCTTGCAGGAAAACAGCCACAAAGAACCTCTTCACTGCCTGCCTAGTCCTCTTTCTCAGGCTGATGGTTATCCATTCCCTCCCTGCTTGAGTAATGAAGCATCAGGAGGTGTGCTCTGCTTGCTTAGGTTCCAATTGATATGAGCATCTGACTACAAGCAATTTCAAGATGCCAACAAAATATTGGGCATCAACCTCTCTGAACCTAGCCTAGATATGTCATGGAAGATTAAAATTGTCATGTTATGAATTCAAATAAAATCAAGTTTAAAATAACTTTGAATAGATGCTGGAAGCATTTTGTGAGAGATGTCCTCTCTCTGAGACATCTTTTTTTTCCATTTTAGAATGTGTTATGTGTTATATATTTTAAAAAATCAAGTTATTCAATATTTCAGGGAAATTAACCCTTTAAAAAATTAGTAATCTTTTAAAAATGCAACATAAGAATGATACCAGAGATGAAGGGCTTATCATATAAGGAGCAGTTGAGGAATCTGGGTCTGTACTTGACGGAGTTTAGAAGGATGAGAAGGGATCTCATTGAAAGTTAGAGAAAACTGAGAAGCCTGGATCCAATGGATGTGGAGAAGATATTTGCAATTGTAGAAGAGAGTAAGGATTCAAGGGCCTACCCTCAGTGAAGAGATAACCCTTTAGAACTTAGATGAGGAGGAATTTCTTCAACCAGAAGTGGTTAATCTGTGGAACTGATTGCCGCAGAAGGGTGCGGAGGCCAAGACATTGAGTGTATTTAAGACAGAGGTAGATAGATAGATAGATAGGTTCTTGATTAGTAAGGTGATGTAGGATTATGGGGAAAAGGCAGGAGAATGGATTTGAGAAACATATCAGCCATGATTGAATGGCGGAGCAGACACGATGGAACAAAGGGCCTCATTCTGCTGCAATATGTTATGGTCTTATATCTTATGATCAATCAACATAACAATGTAAAATAGAGGAGTAGCTTTAGGCTGTACAGTATGTTGAGTCTCTTCCATCACTCAATAAGATTTTGTCTGAACCTCTCAATGAACTTCACTTTGCTACTCTATTATCTGTTAAATTCATAAGATTATTTAAAATCTGAGTGGCATCATTCTAACTTTGTACAGATTATAGATGTGGACCTTTATTTTTTTAAAGTGGCAAATATAACTAATTGAATTGAAATATTCTTAAAATTCTCACAGAAGGTGATTAGTTTGCATTATATTGTGTTTGAGTATTACCTTTAGCAGTCAATGGAATCAGGATTACCATACCCAGCACAATTTGCTATCATATGAACTTGGCTTTTGATTATATAATCATCCGAGACACGGCACATTCCTCTTCAAAGACCGAGGAGAATGAAAGAGCTATTTGACAAGGAGACAGAGAGCTACCAAGACAAAATTTCAAAATAATCAAGTGCAAAAGGAGGAGAGGAAGTAAACACAATAACTGTTACCTAGAGAAAAGGTACTAGGGAAACTAATGGGGCTAAATACCACTAGGTCCCCTGAAAGGGATGGAATGTATCCGAGGATATTAAAGGAAGTCCCTATCGGATGCACCAGTATTAATCTTCCAAGAAAAAAAACCTTAAATTTTGAAAAAGTCCCAGAGGATTAGAAAAAGGGAAGGAGACATAAACCAGATAATTATAGTCTAGTTAGCTTAATGTCTGTTGTTGGGAAAATATGAGAGCCTAGAAGGATGTAATAGCAGTGCATTTACAAATACATAACATTGTCAAGAAGAGTCTGTATGGCTTCATTAAAGGGAAATCATGTCTGACAACTTTACCAGAATTCCTTGAGGAAGTAACAAGCAAGGGGATAAATCAAGGGGAAGCAGTGCATTTAATATATTTGGATTTTTAGACGCCATTTGCTAATGTATCACACATTAGGCTTTTTAACAAGAGTTCAAGGTATTAGGCGTAACATATCAGCATGGATAGAGGATTGGCTAATAAATAGAATATCGAGAGTTGGATAAAGGGAGCATTTTCAGGATAGCAACCTGTAAATTGTTGAGTTACTGTTGATGTGTGTTATAGGTTATAGGTCATGGTATAAAAGTAACAGTGTCAAGGTGATTACAACATTGCCTGGGTGATAGGAAACAGAGAATACTGGTCAATGGATATATTTCAGGCTGGAAGAATGTTTACAGTGGTGTTCCCCTGGGGTTGATTTATGGGACCCTTACTCTCCCTGATATATATTAATCGTTGAACCCCTACAGGGCGGAAAGAGGCTTTGAGCCTGCACTGACCCTACGAAGACCCACCCAGACCTAGCCCCCACTCCGCCCCCACCCTATTCCCTGTAACACTGCATTTACCATGGCCAATCCACCTAACCTACACATCTTTGGACTGTGGGAGGAAAGCAGAGCACTCAGCGGATACCCATGCAGACACCGGGAGAACATGCAAACTCCAAGGTTTGAATCGAACCCAGGTCCCTGGCACTGTGAGGTACCAGTGCTAACCACTAAGCCACCATGCCACTTGCCTGATCTGGGTTTTGGTGTGCAGAGGACAATTTCAAACTTAACAAATTACTTAATACTGGGAAGAATTGTAAACTTTGAAGGTGAGTGTGGAACTACAACAGGACATTGACAAATTGGTGGATAGGTGACACATAAGATACAATGCAGAGAAGTATGAGGTGATGCACGTTAGAAGACAGAACATTGAAAGACACTAGAAAATAGGGGGTACAATTGTAACCGGGCTGCAGGAACAGAGGGACCTGGGTGTATATGTGCACAAATCATTTGAGGTGGCAGAAGAGGTGGAAAAAGCAATTAATAAAGCATAGATTGTCCTTGGTGTTATTAAGAGGGGCACTGAGTACGAGAGCAAGGAGGGAACATTGATCTTGTATAAGACATTTATTAGATCCTATCTGGAGTACTGTGTACAGCTGTGTGTACCACATTACAGGAATGATGTGAATGCATTGGAGAGGGTGCAGGAGCAATTTACAAGAATGGTTCCAGGAATTAGAAACTTCAGTTATGAGGACAGATTGAGGAGGTTGGGACTGTTCTTCTTGGAGAGAAGAAGTTGAGAGATGAT